GGGGGGGGAGTGGGGGCTAGTGCAATGTCATAGGCTAAAGTTGATAAAACATGAGGTGAACAAGCTTTATAAATGTGGACTGTATTGTTTGGAGGGGTAAAAGCAAATTGCTAGGTAAAGAGGAATATCCCCACACAATTATTGAATTGTCATGTGCTAGCATGCTCCCACTAATATTTAGCTTTGTAAACCAGTACTCCATTATTTTTGATGGATATATATTGGCATCAAGAATCTTTTTCTCCCTGTCTCATCCTATCTTTGTGGTGACCACTATGTCTTCAGGCATGGAAGTTGTGGAATGAAAACATGATTGTGAAATTGGTAGACCCATAAATGACCTGCAGTTTGAAAGGGAAATCTTGAGATGTATGGTCAAGAATATGCAGAAGATAGACCAAAGTTATGCACAATACTGATATTTCTGATTTACAAAATCCTGAACCATACAGGACCTTATATTTGAGGCAAGTCATTTTCACTCATTTGGAGAAAAATATTTCCAACATTCAAGGTGGCTGAACATTTTATAGAATACCAATTCTCAAATAAATCCCATCATTCATCATTTGACAGGAGTAGGAAAAATAAAATCTCTGATTTTCGGAGAGATTAAAAAAAAAAAATGGAAAAGAGGGATGAAAAACAAAAATCTGTTATAGACTAGATGTTTACCACTGAGCTTGTAGCTAAATTCCTTTTACACACCTTCAGTCACGAAAACCACTCTAAGCACCAATTTTTTTTCTAACAGTGTTAATAGACTAATACACACCTTTTAGGTGTGCAACCAACTTTTCTCCAAAAGTATATGTCACACATGAATGATAACATGACACATACCAACAAGTATTGTGCTGGAATGGATAGGATCCCTCCACCCTTAAACAAGGTCTTGGGTTCGAGACAAGGGTATGAAAAAAATCATGTTAGAAGGCACTTCCCCTTAAATGGGCCTTACCTTACGAATTCGGATTCATGGGGCCCAATGCAGGTATCGGTACACCGGCAGGAAACAAAGAAAAGATAACATGACAAGAGTCATTAACTTAAAGAAAAAAAAGGAAATAAATTACAATTATACCCCTCATCTCTGCCAAGGGTTCTCTGCCATTACACCTTAGCTCAATGCTTCCTTCAAACATTTTGAAAATCAAACCTTTTCTCTAGCTCAATTACCTCTATCCTCCATCAGATATGGTGAAAGATCAAAATTTCAAGGAGAAGGTTCCAACAGTGAGGCTCAACGCAGTTGTCGACAGAGTCTTTGTTGTCTACCACCACAATTTCTGATATGTTTTTGGGCATTACGAAAAACTGCCTCCTAACTAGGTTATCCGCCAGTATCTGTTCTGAACCTCCGTTGTTGGCTTCTCAATTTTCTATTCACTGTGGCATGAAATGCCCAAGAGGGAAGATACCAACTATGAAGGGAGACCCAAATTCAGTAGGATTTGTGGTCGATGAATGGAGGTGGGTTAAGGTTTTGTTGATACTTTATCTTCAGATGGGCAAAGTTCACGATTTGAAATTTATAGATTTTGAATTGTCATCCAACTCACAGCTGGTCTTAGTTAATTGGTTAGCAATTAAATATGGAAAAATTACCTAACTATACATCTTTTCTTACCATATTTTCTATTATTCCCTACCATTTTAAAAAATTACTAAAATCCCTCTTTTTTAAATTCTCTCCTTTCCAGATACATAACTTTCAATTTTTCAACTTCACTATTTTCTCCCTTTTTTCATGCCTCTAATCACTCCACTATATCACCAGTTACCTTCATCAATCCTTTATTTTGAATTTTAAATATTCTCTCTCTGATTAATAATTTAAAGTTAATCAAAAGGTAGTTCTTCATTTATTTTTTTCTTTCCAATTCTTTTTTTTTTTTACGGAAAAATCATGTGAATATTGGGGTAATTCATACACAAGGACAAGTGTTTTACTGTTAGAGAGATTATTAGAATGTAGACTCAATAAACCACCTGTACATGGACATGACAAAACAAACATGGAGAAAATTAGGACAAAAACGAAGTATAAAAAGTGTCACTTATATATATGGGTATGTATCATATGTATGTGCAGTACTATTTTATAACTAAATCATTATTTATCATATTCATAATTTTTTTTGTATATGATACATAGCTACGCCAAATTATACGGGCATGATACATAAATAGTAATTTATACTAGATGTATCAGTCTCAAACCAAACAACTTATGGACAACAAGTACATGTTTAATGTATCCCGTTGTTGTGTCGTAATTTTCCTAACCTTGGAAAAATCACTTTTTGAAATGTTCTAAGTATAAACAATTTTAGAAAAATACTTAGAAAAGAGTCGCCACTTAATTTTTTAAAGAAATTAAGAAAACTTATGATTTTCAAAGATTTAAACAGAAAAAATCATTTGAAAGTACCAAAGAGGGTTCGGGGTTCAATTTACACTTCGAGAAGGGTTTAAGCATTCGAAATGTCCGCCAACACGCGGTTGACCTGTGACTTGACTAAAATATATTTGACTATTTTTTTAGAAAAATAATGATTTAACATAAAAATAATAATAATAAATATTTGGTTAACTTTGAGAAAAATAGTTAAATTAAATGACACATTTTTTAATTTATTTTTTGGAGAAGGGAATCCAAAATGAAACAATTGAATTAAATTGCAAGCGATTAGAATGTTAATAAAAATAGATTAATTAGAATTGTCTAATTCATTTTGAAATAATAATTTAAACCAATTT